GATCCCGGTTCAAGCTGCTGCCGGTTAGCTTCCAAGGCCCCGCAGGTTAGCTTCCAAGGCCCCGCAGGTTTCAAAGCTCACATACTGGTTTTATGGTGTTTTCAGGGTGTACACGCACGGAGCGGCCCAGCTGGGCGGAGCAGCGCGCGGCGTCTGTCTGCAGCTCACCTGAGACCCCAGGTGAGCACAGCGCTTCACTTTATAAGTTACCGTCATGTAACGTCGAGTTTTGTGCCAGAACAGTCCACCCAGCACTAAACGGACAGAGGCTTCAACATGCAATGGGGGTAATTTGGGCCTTTTATTGCATCATAATAAAATATAGCTTGTCTGCCTTTGCTCTTTAGATCCATTACCGGTCATTACTGCATTTACCTTAAAGATTAATTTCCAAATATGTATAAATGTCAACTGCATGTCGGTCTGGGGCGGACCAGCCTGTTAAGTGATCCTCACACAATAACCCTTCAGTGTATTTCTCAAAATGTTCCTTTACCTTACACTGCACCGAGTGGGTAAATGGTCTTATACTTGTATATGGCCTTTCTATGCTTTTACAGCACACTCAAAGCGCTTTCACATTATTCGGCCATTCACCCATTCGCACTCACACACCGGTGACATCACCGGGAGCAACTGGGGGTTCAGTGTCTTGCTCAAGGACACCTCAGACATGTTGACTGGACAAGCCGGGAATCGAACCGCTACGACCCGCTCTACCTCCTGAGCCACAGCCGCACCCCCCTTCCGCACTGTGCAGGAAGAACACTTCTACACTTTAATAGTCCAACAAAACAAAACTTACAGGCCAACCGAGTTGCAGCCAGGTCAGAGCGATGCTTCAGAAGCTGGCCCCTGTGTGACCTCCGTATCTGACCCCTGCTGTGCATTACAATCTCGTTTTACAGCATCGACACCGGTCAGCGCTCCAGAGAAGCAGCTTTACGGTGTTCCCACAGTTGCTCCCCTGACTGGCACATCCAGGCTGCTGTGCCTCATGTCCCGCAGGTTTGCACCGACCTGAGTAAACCTGTGGCGCCTTACTGTGTCACAACCCTAAAATAATGTTGTGCGGCCCTGATTCACGTCCCTAAGGCGTATGTAGCACACACTCACACAGGTAGTAAGGGAAAGTACATCTACTCTATCTAGTTTTATTTGAGTATTTCCACCATATTTATGTTTTGTAATTTGGATTTTCCCATTGTACTAGTACTTCTGGGTACTTGCACACTAGTTCCTTCCTCCCGTATGTGTGTGTTAGACAGTGTGTATTAGTGACCTTTAACTGAGTGAGCTGACCTTTAACTTAACAAGACAGCTCGCTCCACAAGCTGTTTAAAATGACAAACTACTCAAAGTGCTCTGAGGTCAGTGGCGTGTTGTTAATGCTGGGAGAGGCTGTGACACCAGTGTGCCCGCTCCGCTCAGTGAGTACTCACAGACACAGATACACACCAGCGCCCTACTTGTGTAACTGTGAATGGTTGTGGCTCGACTCACTGCTCTGTGAAGTGAGCGGTGAGTCACGTCGTGCCATCCACCTGACTCACTTGGTTTCCCAAACTTGAATCGAGTGAAAACAACACTTGCAGTCTGAATCTCCACTAGAGGCTGTGTTTCTTACACAAAGTACTGAACTGAACCAACCACAAATTTATCTGTCGACAGCTGCGTTCACAAAATCACCACTGTCCTCAGATCTGGGCCACCTGCGTATGTGCTCCTCGATCCAACTCCGCTGCCATATCAGAATCTATGTGCTTGTTTGAATGTCTCTGCACATTCAGCCTGTTGTCGTCAACAGCATCTGTCTTAAGAGAAGATATTAGCTTAGAGCTTCAGTCTACGATGTTGGTGTTAACACAAAGGAGGCGCTGCTGGGACTTGAACCCAGGATCTCCTGTTTACTGCTTAAAACATAGCTCCAACACCTCATGGAAGTTACAAAACTTATTTGGAACGGAAGCACGAGTCCTTTAGGTTCATAGGCATGTGAACAGTGACCTGAGCGAGCTCTAAGAGGTGCTGGGGCTTAGTGGGCTAAAGCAGCTATCTAGCAAACAAGCTTCTTCTGTAATGACACCACGTCCAACATCAGACTCAAAATATTATAGGCACTGAGCAAACTCTGTCCATCCATGTTTGTCAGTGGCAGCTGGCCGAGTGTTAGGAGGTGCAACTTAATTCACTTCGACACTCTTTATTTTCCACCATTGGAAAAAATGTCAGGTTCAGGAGAGAAGCTCAAACAGCAGCAGTTGTCTTCTAAAGTATGCTGTTCATTCTGGTCAGAAAGCATGAAACTCACTGATGTGCACGTCAAGTTCACACCAAGGCAGCAGCTTTTACCTGATAGAGCTTAAACCAACATGTTAACAGGAGAAACCTGGGGTTCAGTGCCACACCCAAGGGCACTTCAGCACATGGACCTTGGAGTCAAACCTCCAACCGCTCTGCCTTCTGAAAAGGATTTGACCTTGACATGATTTGAACACAATCTTCTGATCTGGAGTCAGACGCGCTACCGTTGTGCTACGATGTCCCACGAGGCTCAGTGTTACATACTTAACGGTGAGTTGTACGTGAAACAAGAGAAATTTCACATTATGCTTTGATAGTTGAACAAACTGCCAGTGGGTCCTGGGTTTGAATCCCAGCAGAGCCAAAAGGATTACTCGATGTGACTTCCTGCGAACACCCCATAATCAAGTTGTTTTCAATATTTCAATATGTGTTAATGTTACTGTAAGCTCCCCCTCAACTATGGGAGCTTTTTTACTGGTTCTCTGGGGCGCTGTGGCTCAGTGGGTTAAAGCACCTGTCTAGTAAACAGGGGATCCTGGGTTCAAATCCCAGCAGTGCCTAATGGGCTGGAACCTGTGGTTGTTTGCTTCGCTGCTGTACAGCTTTTTTTTTTCCCCACACAAGGCTGTAGAAGAAGGTGGACAGGTTTCATTCAACTCAACTGTAACGCAGGTTCTATCAGAGCACCACTGTGTAAAACATCAGACAGGAGCAACAAGGAAATTAACCTAACCTAACCACTAACAGAGATTTAGATGAGAGAGATCTGATATTTATTATTTGTTTGATGAGAGGTACTGTAGCTCAGTGGTTTAATGCACCTCTCTAATAAACAGGAGTTTCTAGGTTCAAGTCCCAGCGGTGTCAGTACTTGCATTGTTTTCAACATATGGACACTGAGCAGCTCCCTCCAGTTAGTGTTGGTCTGATAACAACAGCCCTGCACTAACTTGTCTTAAAGCTCATAGCATTGCAGCTTTTATAAATGTAGGTGTGTTTACTGTTGAGGTATTAATGTGTGTGACCGACTGTACACTGTCTCATACAGCACATGCATGACCTGCATAGCTCTTTAATCTACAACAGCCACACGTTCCAGTGTCTCCACACACTAACATCATCCAGATATGAATATCCTACACACAGTGACCCCAGGGTAACAATATGAGCACACAGCACCAAGTATACACATTGTTCCCGTGCCATCACATTGAACTGCCGTCAACATTATCAAACTAAAATACATTATTATTTATCTGCTACATCAAACGGGTCCATGATACTGTGATTTAAAGGATACGTTTGTTGACATTCATAGTTTTTTTTGGTGCGAGATCCAAATCTAAAGCCTGACAAAGCTCATTCCTCTATTTAAAACTCTCAGTGCCACATAGAGTACACTGCCCTGCTGCCACACGTACAAGAGCACCAAATATGGATTAATCCGCTGCTGAAAATAGTCCCCAATAAACTCATTATTACCTCTCGCTTCTTTTGGTAAGAAACTATAGAGTAACACTGTTTCAAACATGCTTGGGGTTAGTGATACCATTGGGTTTTGTGTTGGGTTTTTTGTGTTTACTCAAACAGTTAAAATGTGAAAGGAGCTGTAACCTGAGCAAATTCAGCTGCTGCCAGGGTAAACTGATGGAAAGTTTAGTGATTTATCGATTAACTGAGCAGATGTTGAAGTAACTTTTTAGGCAGGAATGTTGTCTAGTTGCAGCTTCTCAACAGGAGGATTCGCTGCTCTTCTGACACAATATGACCTAAGCTTCTCCGAGGTTTGACCTCTTGAACAGATGAAACAAGCCGTTTGACAGGATTCTGAAGGTATATGTAGAGAAGCTAACCAGCCCACAACCTGAGAAAGATGAAATGCTGAGTTCACTGTTCGATGAGGAGGCAGATCCAGTTCAACGCCTTGCTGGGGGGGACCCTCAGCAGGTGGACCTGGGGTGGAGGAGGGAGTTTGGACCTGCGGCCTGGCAGTATCAGCCCTCCTGCTGCTGACCTTATAGCTATCAGAGCTCTTTTACTCGTGACATTTCTAGATAGGCCTTATCACCACAAAGATAATGAGACGCCTCCTGGCATTGCCCTGATTGGGTCCGAGGGAGACCCTGGCTGTACCGGTGTGAGGGGGGTGGGGAGTCTAGAAGAATCTACTGGGTCTATATTAGCCCTGGTGAATCACGACGGGCCTGGCATACCAGGTGTCCCCTTTCATGCCATATAAGTCCACACCC